TGACAACCCAGGGTCCAGTCCAGGAAGCAGGGTTGTAGTCCTCCACCCCTCTCTGCTGCTTCTCCTCTGTTACCCACCAACACCCACATTGAAACAGTGTCAACTCGCCCACGGCTCAAATTAAATAAACCAAAAATCAGCTCTATCCCTACAACCATAAGTAGTGATGACTTCATGAGATTCTTTATAAATAAAATTATTTCAATTAGAGAGAAAATTCAAACCATCCTTCCTTCTACTATCTCTAGTCTCCTGTCAAATCCAGAATAGAATTCAAAATCTTACTTCTAACGTACAAAGCTCTCAACAACCTAGCTCCATCTTATATTACAGATCTTATTGTTCCATATTTTCCTAACAGAGCACTTCGCTGTCAGACTCCAGGTTTACTTGTGGTTCCTAGAGTTTCCAGCAGCAGAATGGGAGGAAGATCTTTCAGTTCTCAGGCTCCACTGTTGTGGAACCAACTTCCAGTCTCTGTCCTTGAGGCTGACACATTATCCAGTTTTAAAACTAGGATTAAGACTTTCCTTTTTGATAAATCCTATAGTTAGGGTCGGCTTGGGTTTCCTGAGCTGTCCCTTAGTTCTGCTGCTATAGTCTTAGACTGCTGGAGGACAAACTGACCACACTTTTCACTCTGCAACTGTCTTTACTTACTCTGCTCAACATTTAAAAAAAATTTTTTTCTATCCTTACCATGTGTGTGTGTGTTGTTTTTTTGTCTTTCAGGTACACCTGGACCTATACCTGGACCTACCATTCTGTTTTCGTCTCTTCTTCCTGTCCTCTCAAACCAGCCGGTCAAAGCAGATGGCCGCTTGTCCTGAGCTTTATAAAGTTCAGTTGTATTAGTTGACTGGCAGATCTGCCACATCCAATATGGTGGACGTTCTGATGTACCGCTGCATCGGGTCAGCTCGCTCAACAAGGCGTCTATGTCTATGGTTACAGCTAGTTTCTGCTGCTGCTAATAACATCCATCTATCAATCAATCAACCTTTATTTAGACGGTAAATCCCATTGAGCCTCAAGGACTCATTTACAAGAGACCTGATTTCAACAAAGAGTGATGACAACAATGGACAACAGCAACAACAATAAACAGTTATAAAAAGTCATACTGCAGTTTTTTTTTGTTTTTTTTAAACAAATAGGATGGCTAAAAGGAAAAGGTAACAAAACAACAACAACAAAAAAAGCTAGACCATAAGGCGAATGTAGAAAACTAAAAACAGGAACCCCAAAAAAGTTCAATCTGGTCCTCTGGACATTCAAAAAAACAAAAAACAAAACAAAGCAAAAAAATCTAGAAACGTTTCGTCTCTCATCCAAGAGACTTCCTCAGTCTGAGGTGCTGTTTTCAGCTCAGTCTCTTAAATAGCACCTTCTCAGAGTGGATCAACCAGTTTTGCTGCTGACAACCAAAACCAGCTGATCACATGCTCAAGAAGGACCATCAGTCTAACAATGGATCATTAGCACCTGATGGCTGTTTACTGTTCACAGAGGGCTGAGTGATACTAGCAATCACAGCATTGTAAGAGGGGGACAGTTGAACCTGGAGGCTCCACCCCTGTTTAATGATGGACGATTTATTTTCACAAAGATGGCCTCCTTTACTCCTCTCTCAAACCATCGTTCCTCTCTGTCCAGGATGTGAACATCTTCATCCTTGAAGACCACACTTCAGCAAGTGTTGGACTGTACAGATCAGGCACGCTTAGCACAGCATGTCAAGTCCAAGACTCGACAACAAAACAAGTTTAACGTACTAATAGCTCATCAACACCATCACTATTCCAATAACAACACATTCAGTGTAGGA